ACATCAAAGGGGGAAATGAGGGAAGCAAACAGAAAACCCACAAAATGGGGGAAAATCTTTACCAGCGACACATCTGACAGAGGTTTAACATCCAGAATATATAACGAACTCAAAAAACAGAGAATCAAGACAGGAAGTAACCCAATTAAAAGATGGGCTAAGGAGCTGAACAGAGAGTTCTCAAAAGAAGAAGTAAAGATGGCTATGAAGCATCTTAAAAGATGTTCAGCATCACTAATAATTAGGGAAATGCAAATTAAAACCACTTTAAGATTTCATCTTACCCCAGTCAGACTGGCTGAGATGAAGAGAACAAATGATACCAAATGTTGGAGAGGATGTGGGGAAAGGGGAACACTCATCCACTGCTGGTGGGGCTGCAAACTTGTTCAACCCCTATGGAAAGCAGTGTGGAGAACTCAAAAAAACTACAAATGATCACTTCTTGGCCTTTTGGCTAAGATCAGGTGTAGTATCTGTTCTTATCAGTTTAATATCTGATACGTCCTCTTTCTGAGGACAATATAGTAAATGGATTTTTGGAACCAGGAGTTGGAATAGGAGCTTGCTCCGTCCTCCCCACGCATCAACCTGGTATTGCAGTACCTCTAGGAACAGTGTATAAAAACAAACAAACAACAACAACAACAAAAAAAAACTGCAAATGAACCTACCATTTGACCCAGTTATACCACTCCTTGGCATATACCCAAAGAACTCATCCTATTGCAGAGACACTTGTATATCCATGTTTGTTGCTGCTCTTTTCACAATAGCTAAGAAATGGAAGCAACCTAAGTGTCCCTCAACTGATGAGTGGATAATGAAAATGTGGTTCATTTATACGATGGAGTTTTACTCAGCAGTAAAGAAAGATGAAATCATGAAATTTGCAGGTAAATGGATGGAACTAGAAACTGTTATACTAAGTGAAGCAACACAGAATCAGAAAAAAACCGACATATGTTCTCCCTCATATGTGGATCCTAGGACCAGATCCTGGTAAGTGAGTATGCATTCAGACATAACTACAGGAACCAGGATAATGGAAAGGAAACAAGGAGGTAAAGAAAAGAAAGAACCTGAAAGAGAAGAACAGTAGGAAACAGGCCTTAATAAGGGAGATATGGATAAAAATTGGGTTGGTTTAAGGGAGGGGGAGGGAAGGGTATACAAGGAACCTAGGGGATAAAGGGAAAGGAGGAGCTCAAGGGAGGTATGACCATAGGAGAAGGGTGTTATTAAGGGAGAAAGGGGGAAATGGGGGCACCTTAATTGGGGAAACCATGATGGAGGGGTTAGACAATGCAAAAGATAAATAATGCCTAGCCAGTTTTAAAAACCAGAGGGAACCATACTAGTCCAACCACCTACTGACAAATTATACATAGCAGATCAAGAAATATACATCTAGGCAAGGTTTATCTGAGAACAATTGGTCTTTGCCCAAGATTTATCTACATGGCACACAGTAATTAAAAGTACCAGACTGGTGGAACTAACCTTCTTGGATGTTTAACAGACATACTTTGAGGACTATGCTCATTTGGTCAGAGGGACATAAAGGACAGTTTTTGTTCCTTGCTCTCCTGGGTTGACTAGTTCCAGGGGACTATGAGCATCTCTCAAAATGTTCTGTAATTGTGGTGGGTCACCTGTTCTCTTGATCAAGGAGGCCAAGGAGGCCCCACAAGACAGACTTGAACCAGTGTCCAGTCTACAAAGAGGAGGGTCAACACAGAGGAATCATTTCCTCCATGTTTCCAAGCGAAGCCAGCCATGGTCAAGCAGGACCTTTAACTTATCTTCACATAGGTGGAACTGGTAAAAGAAAGGAGCCAGGGGCTCCTCCCAAGCCCATGTGACCCCTGAGGAACAGATCCTCAAATGACTTTAAGAGTAAAAATAAATTGGTTTATCTGGGCCTACTGTATGGCCTTAAACACCCAAAAGGAAAGCATAATCAATGATTAAAGGGGCCAATATAAATATTTAAGAGTCCATGTGTATAACTAAAGGCTACATAACAAGCAAGAATGCCAGATAGGAGATACCTTCTTTTGAGTTGTTGGCTAGGGTAGCCCAAGGGATTCCCAGATAGTAACCCAGCATAGAACGGGGAAAATGAACAGCAGACCCCAATCTTATCTAAAGGAATATTGACAACTGATTGTTCCTAGATGAGGAACAGCTGACCCTCCTAAAACAAAGACCTCTAGATAGGCTCACTAGATTCACCAGATGGACAAGTAGTGGGGAACGGTTGGGGTGCCAACAACACAGCAGACAGTAGCAGGGATAACAGAGTATAAGGGCTCTAGTCGGGGGAGGGAGGCTGTGGGGGGGTTGCCATCTGGGAAGTGGGTGTATAGCTGAATAAGATGGTTTGGGATGTTCTGTGTGATATGTACACATACACACAAAAAAAATCAACAAATTTTAAAAATGTATTATATTTGAGGAGGAAGCATAAAAATTTATGTCATGTTAATTAGTAGAGGTGATAAATATTACCATTGAAATCTACCCAATGACTTTATAGACATACACAGGTGCCAAGGGTCCTAGTGCAACCGATTATGACTAGTAATAATCAGATACATACAGATGAGAGACGCATGCGCCAACATCTCAGTGTTATTAGCAAAAATGAGTCTTTCTGTAAGAAATAATGTCTTACAGGGTTTATACTGAATTCTATATTGTATAACTGTATTAATTCAACATCGAACCTAAAAATTTTATAGCCACTTTTGAAAGAGATGTATCTTTGCTCTAGAAACTGTTATTGAGTATGTTAATGCTGTAATGAAATGCTGCTTCTAAAAAAACAAAAAACAAAAAACCCAAAACTTGTTGGCCATGATGGGACACATCTTTGGGAGGCAGAGACTGGAAAATCTCTGAGTTAGAGGCCAGCCTGTTCTACATTGTGAGAACTTTTTTTTTTTTAAGTGTTTTTAGGGGTTGGGGATTTAGCTCAGTGGTAGAGCGCTTGCCTAGCAAGCCCAAGGCCCTGGGTTTGGTCCTCAGTTCTGGAAAAAAAAAAAAAAAAAAAGACAAAAAATTGTTTTTAATTAATTTTAAAAGGTGGAGAAATATTAAGGAAGACTAAGGCTGACCTCTGGCCTCCATACACACTCAAATAGACCTGCATGTACACCCTTGCATACACACCCAGACACACAATAAATAAATACATTAAGTAATTTTAAAAATTTGAGGCTGGAGCCGGGCATGGTAGTGCACGCCTGTAGTTCTAGCACTTGGGAGGCAGAGGCAGGCAGATCTCTGTGAGTTCAAGGCCAGCCTAGTCTACATAGTGAGTTCCAAGACAGCTCAGGCTACAGGGAGACCCTGTCTCAAAAAGACAAAAAATAAAAAATAAAAAAAAAATTGAGCCTGGTTTGGGTTGGAGAGATGGCTTAGTAGTTAAGAGCACTGACTGCTTTTGCAGAGGATCTGGGTTCGTTCCCAGCACCCACGTGGTAGTTAACAATCTGATGCCCTCTTCTGACCTCCATGGGCATTGCACAACACAGGTACACTTACATACATGCAGGCAATACACTCATACACTTAAAATAAAAATAATAAACCGGGCCTGGTGGTGCTCCCCTTTAATCTCAGCACTCAGGAGGCAGAGGCAGGCGGATCTCTGTGAGTTCAAGGCCAGTCTGGTCTACATAGTGAGTTCCAAGACAGCTTGGGATACAGGGAGACCCTGTCTCAAAAAGACCAAAAATAAATTTTTTTTGAGGCTGGCATGTAGCTCAAATGGCAAAGTACCTGCTAAGCGTGTTCAAGGCTCCCTCAGCATCAAGAAAAAAGGCAGAAATCCATTTACACAACTGATTTTGGGTCTGGGGATTGCTTAGTGTGTAAAAGTCCTTGTTGCATAAACATGAAGACCTGAGTTTGAATGTGAAGTTCTCAAAAAGTGAGATGTGGCTGCCCACACCTTTAACCCCAGTGCTAGGGGTTGGGGTGGTGATGCCAAAACAGGGCTCCCTGGGACTTGCTGACTGTCAGCCTAGTTTAGTCAGTAAAAGACCTCAAATATAGGTCATTTGACATCTTCCTCTGGCCTCAGCATGAGCGCACAGTGTGGCACATATGGTATACACATATTCCACATAAACATACAGCTGCAGGGGGCGAGAAAAGATTTAGTTAGGTCAGGGACATGGTCAGCTGACCTGGACCTAGAGGATGAACTCTGGAGGGAGCTCAGGCATGAGCTGGAGAGCTGTTACTTTCTGGAGGAAGCTTGTGGCTGCTCATGTGAACTTCACCATGAGGGATTTCCCATGAACGATCAAGAAAGAGCAAAGAGGAAGTTACAATATTTTTCTAACTTAATCTTGGGACTCACGTTCATGATTTCCCCCTTTATCCTGTGGGTCATGCTGGTCAGCCCCATTCGGCGTGGGAAGGAGCTGTAAAGAACATGACTATCAGGCTTCAAGAACCATGGAGGCTGGTTCCCATCCTCTCCCTAAACTAGGTCTCCACCCCTCCACCCCCAATTCGCTTTCCAAACACGTATGGCATTATGTGATTCCATGTCCATTCAATGACTTTACTGTCTCTCAGACTCTATGAGAGCAGAGATGCTCTGTGAATGTTTTTTTTTTAATATTTTATTATTTTTATTTTATGTGTATGAATGTATTGCCTGCGTGTATGTGAGTGCATCCGTGTCGTCAGAGTGGGCTTCGGATTCCCCTGGAACTGGAGTTAAGGACGATTTGTATCCGCTATATGGGTGCTGGGAATTGAACCCGGGTCTATTACAAGAACAGTCAGTGTTCTTAACCGCCGAGCCATCTCTCCAGCCCCTGTGACTGCTTTTTGAATGACTTGTGGTAATTTCTGTTTCTGACAAGGCCTTGGAGAACAGAGAGGTGACCTCACACCCTGGGAGCAGACGGCCGAAGGCTGGGGGGGGGGGGCACTCGGGCGCGTCACTTCCGGGTCCTCGGGAAGTACTTCCGGGAGGAGCCGCGCGCGGGTACCCCAGGTGAGTGTCGAGGTACTAGATGCGGCGACCTGGGATGGGATGGGCTCCGGGGTGACGCTGCCCTTCCGCGCGGCCACCGCAGCTTCTGGCCCGCGGAGGACGGTGACAGGCACTGGGCATTGCCGTGCCAGTGGGCATTGCCGTGCCAGGGAAGAAAGCCTGGCCTGGCCTGGGCCGGAACTCGGGATCCTCCCACCCATCAGCCCGAGCTCTGAAGTTTGTCTGCCCGGACTTGGCATCTTTCACATTTCCTCTCCTCAGTTTTTTTACTTCGTAAAATGGGCACATTGGGTTGTGCAGAGAGGGTTAAGAGACAACGACTGTAAAAGTGCCTAGGTGCATAGTGGGTGCTTGAGTGAATTAACCCTCTAGGAGAAGGGGAAGATGAATGCAGTAGCCTCCCACTTACCTGCGGTTGCAGTTACCTATGACCTGAAAATAGTGCGTGGAAGACTCCAGAAGTAAACGGTTCATGGCCTTTATTTTTTAAGTATTTTATGTGTATAAGTGTATTGCCTGCATGCCTGTAAGTACAATGTGCCATGTAATGTCTACGGAGGTAAGAAGAGGGCTTTGGATTCCCTGAAACTGGAGTTACCGCGGCTGTGATGTATGGATGCTGGGAACTGAACTCAGGTCCTCTGCAAGAGTGCTTTGAGCCGTCTCTCCAGCACCTGGGATCCATGGCTCTTAAATCTTCTGTTTTCGGTAGCACAATGGAAGAGTTGGGCCTGTAGCCCAGGGTGGCTGAGGCCCAGGTTCAATTCCCAGTACCATCCCTCTCTCTCCAAAAAGTAAGGCGAAATACTACTCCTTCCTGCTCTGCATGTGCATCATCGGGTTGCCTGACCATCCTTGCTGTGCACCTACTCCTGTCACAGCTGCCAGCTGTGTTCAAGTAGCCCTTATATAAGAAGCCCCCAGGCACAAGATTAGGGATGTTGGCCTGTGGGGTTTGCCAAAAAAGGTCAAAAAGTGCTTCCTGAAAGTGAAAAGATAAAGAAGAAAACAATCATAAGCTGAAGTTGGTAAAAATCTTTGATAAGAACAAATCTACCTGTGGCATTATGAAGTGCATGCTGGCTGTGGTGGTGCACACCCATAATCGTGGCATTCGAAGGAATGGCATCCTCTGACACCCAGCATCATAGCCCTTTTCGTGTATTGTCAGGTCAGTGGAGGCCTGCGTCATTCACCTCACTTCATTTTACCATGTAGGCCTCACACCACCCTGTCATCTAATGAAGAGTGAGCACAGAAAATGAGACACTTTGGAAGGCCAGTGACATGGCTCAACTGGGAAAGGTGTTTGCCACCAGGCCTCCAGACGCCCAGAGTCTGATCATGAGACCTACACGGTAAAAAGAGAGAGCTGACCCCTGCAAATTGTCCTCTAACCTACACACGTGTGCCTTGACATACTTGCACCCACTCCCCCAATTAATAATAATAATAATAAAACTAATTTTAAAAATACCTTGAGGGACTGAAGAGATGGCTCAGCAGTTAAGAGCACTGACTACTCTTGTAAAGGACCTGGGTTTGATTCCCGGCACCCACATTTCGGCTTACAACCATCCATAACTCCAGTTCCAGGGGATCCAACACCTTCTGACCTCCATGGGCATTGCACGACATGGTGCATTTACATGTATGCAGGCAATACGCTCATCCACACAAAAAGAATCTTTTTTTTTTTTTTTTTTTTGGTCTTTTTGAGACAGGGTCTCCCTGTAGTCCCAGCTGTCCTGGAACTCACTATGTAGACCAGGCTGGCCTTGAACTCAGAGATCTGCCTGCCTCTGCCTCCCAATTGCTGGGATTAAAGGTGTGTGCCACTACACCTGGCAAGAATAAAATATTTTTTAAAAACTTAGTTTCAGGTTTACAGCTATTTGGTGGTAGTGAATTCCCAGGTGGTACATTTGTTGTAAGTTATGAACCAGTATCAATATATTATCATTAACTAAGACTCCCACGTTGTTCAGATTTCCTCAGTTTCTCCCTAAAGCCCTTCCTCTGTACAGGACCTGTGTAGATTCCACAGTACATCCAGTCACCATGTCTCCTGAGGCTCCTCTTGCTTAGCTGGGACAGTTTCTCAGACTTCCTTTGTTTCAGATAAGCGTGGCAGTTTTGAGACTTTCTGGTCAGATATTTTGCAGAAGACCCTTCAGGTTGAGGAATAGACTTGGGTCATAGGCTTTGGGAGTGAAGAGCACAGGAGAAAGAGCTCAGGGGAGCCTTCCGTGTGTGTGTGTGTGTGTGTGTGTGTGTGTGTGTGTGGTGTGTGTGTTTTGCTGTTATTATCCAGGGTCACTGGGCTTCAGGAAACAGTCAGGGCTTTTACTATAGTTACTCCCACCCCATCTCTACACTCTACTCTTAGAAGAAAGTCATTGTGTACAATGCACATTTGGGGTTTGTGGAAGTAAGCCCCATATGTATGGGGGGAGCGACGTAAGTCATTTCGAATTCACATGAGAGCTTTGTCTGTTCTCTGCATTTACTTATCCCTTTGTGTCATACCTTGGGTTATAAGTCAGTGCGGCTTTGGCCATTGGGAGCCCCCAGCTCCCTTGGCATACCTCCCTGGCAATGTTTTGTTTTACCCTTTTGTTTTGCTTTTTTAAAGCACTTGTACACTTTCTGCTCCAGGCTCATTCTGTTAAAATATCTGCCCCACTCTTAGTGTTAGCCAGTTCTTTAAGGAGTGTCAGTCTCTTTTATGGACAAATGGTCCAGAAACCAAGATCTGGGCACGAGGTGGGCTCATTGCTACTGGGATGCTCATTTCTAGGCTCTCTCAATGGCCAGAGCACAAGGTCTGTGTATACACATGTCTGTTAATACTTGTATATGTAACTGCCCATGTCTATATAAGCTAAGTATGCTATACTGATTATCTCTAGCTCTCATTGACTCCATGGATGATTCTAGTTCTTTCTCTTATCCAGAACCTTCTCCCCCTGTAACAAACCTGACTTCCTCCATCTAGTCACTGGTGTCGGTTCTGGTGAGTGTGTCTAGTGGTTTTAGAATTGTTTGCCTGGTTCCCATGGGAAGCAACTTTCCCACTGGAGTGTGGTTCCTGTGAACAGCTCTTTTTGCCCTTAGTTTTACAGACTCCTCGTTTTCAGAGTTGCTTATGCCACCATCTTATTTTCATACCTCCTTTGGTGACTTCAGGATACATTCAGATTCACAATGGCACTCTGTGTTCACTCCATTCTGAAACTTAAAAAACATATGCATACGTTAAAGTTTACTCTTTGTGCTGTATCATTTTTTTTAAAGTGGGTTTTGACCATCAGTGCTTAATGTCTTCTGTTTACTACCACAGTATTTTGCTGAAGAGTTTCCCATCCCTCAGAGAGTATTTGAACTTCATTCAGAATTTACCTCAGCAATCCTTTGCATCTCTCTTCAGACTGTGTCTGTAATCTAAGAATTATCTCCTCCATAGCTCCAACCTGGTGTGAGCACTTGTATCACATTGCTGTAATGGCTTCCACTTTTCCACCCTAGTCTGCTCTCTACACAGCACCCAGAGGGATTGTTGGAATTCTTTGCTGTGTCCTTTCTAGTGACTTCTCTTTTACTCAGAATAAAAGCCAGAGTCCTTGTACTGTCCCGTGGCCCTGCCCAGCTTGCCCCCTCTGCTGCTCCCCAGATGGCAGAGCACATTCCTTGCTCAACCCTGGCATATTCTAGCAGGCTGTTAAATGACACTCTTTGTTTTCCTCTTTTTGGGGTGCACATGTGCTGGGGATTGAGCCCTGGGGCTTGCACATACCACTGGGCTACATCTCCAGCCCTTTGCTTTCTTGCCTCTGCAGAAACGTCACTTCTTGGCTCCTCCTTGACCATCTCCTATAAAGAAACTTCCTCACTGTCTTGGGCTTCCTGACTTTTGTCCCTGACATTCCCACTGTGTGTGTGACCAGGTGCTTTCACCAGAGTGGAAGCTCCACAACGGACACTAGTGGCCCATCAGAATGGCTGGCTGCTCAATAAGTACTGTCCAGGGAACAAGCATCTAAGACCAGCTGTGTCTGTATCCATTCAAGGATGAGCCTCAAGTCACCTCAGGAAGGCCAAGAGGTATCCTCATATGAAGAATTCTCTGGCTTCCCCTGCTCTGCTGTGCTAGAGATTGAGCCTAGAGCCTCATGCATTCTAGAGAAGAGCTTTGTCACTGATCGACACCCAGATTTTTCTTTTAATATGTACTAAGTATTTGAATAACATTTCAGAAAATTAAAGCTCAGGACTCTGAGCTTAGCAGCAAGTATTTTATGTTTTTCTGCTGTCTCTTTTTGTTTTATGACAGCCTTGCAGTGTAGCATGTGCTGCATGGTAGTCCCTGTGTAGTCCAGTTGGCCTTGACTTTGCAGTAATCCTCTAGCCTCAGCCTCCCAAATGCTGGGATTATGGATGCAAGCCATTACATCTGGTTCTGTGGCCTCATTTGGTCTTCGGCCAATGAAATCAGTTTATATATAATTGCAGTCACACTGTTTATGCAGTTGCTTCTTTTTCTCAATTAATTTTCTATTGCAAAACTTTCTTCTGGCCTGATACCATTTTTATGTGTGAGTTTTGTTGTCATTTTGGTGATATTCCATGATGTACGTAATTGGATGAACTGCTTCCTTATGGTTGGACACTTGGGTTGTTTCCTGTTTTCCAGTGCTATGAATAGCGCTGCCATGAATGTTTTTTGTACCTGGAGGACTTCATGGTTTTTTTTTAATTGAATTTTTGTGTATTTCATACAGAACATCTTAATCATCTTTATACCCCCTTCCCCATTGGTTCCCTCCTATAGCTGCCCCCTCCCCAGAATTCATATATTCTGTCATTTGTGTTAAGGCCTATCATGTCAAGTTAGTGTCCCCAGATGTCCCTCAGTGCAAGTTTATCCATTGGGGTCTAGTCAGCCTGTCTAGAATCCCTCCCTTTAAGAAGATCAGCTCTTCCTCACCCAGAAGTAATCAGCTGCCAATAATTCTTGGACTAAGATTGGGGCCTGCTGTCCATTTCCACAGTTCTGTGCTGGGTTTTTATCTGCTTGAGTTTGCATGGGTCTTGTGCATGCTGGTACCATTGTTACAGGTTCATATGAGAAGGGCCCCATGAGCCAGTAGGACTCTATTTGCATACATTCATGCACCTCTACCTTGGCTCTTACAATCTTTCCACCCCCTCTTCTGCGGTCCCTGAGCCCTGGGTGGGTAGAGTTTAAAGTAGGAGTCCTGTCCAAGGACCCATACCCTGCAGACTCTTATTCTCCATGTTTTGGCCATTTGTGACCTTCTGTGTTCCTGGCCCTCTGTTGCATGATGGAGCTTCACTGATGAGAACTGAAAGATGCATTAGTGTTCTCTTCATCCCTTGTTCCATGTTCTATGAGCCTTAGGTGTATAGATTGCATCACAGATGCAGGCAATACATTCATACACATAAAATAAAAATAATAAATATTTTTTTCAAAAAGTGCCACTCCTGTGCCAGTGTCATTTGTTACGCTGGTCTTTGATGTGGTTTTTAGGCCTTGAAGCTGAGGTTGGATCATTGAGTACCTGGAAGACTTTTCTTAAAAATATTTTATTATTTTTATGTGTATGAGTGTTTTGCCTGCATGTATGTAAGTGCATCTGTATCATGCAATGCCTGAGGAGGTCAGAAGAGGGCATCAGATTCCTCTGGAACTGGAGCTATGGATGGTTGCTAGCCACCATGTGGGTACTGGGAATTGAACCCGGGTCCTCTGCCAGAGCAGCCAGTGCTCTAACCATTGAGCCATCTCTCCAGCCTCCGACTTTTCTTTTCAATTATTTCCTTACTCCAAATTCTAGAAAGTTATTCAGTCAAAGGGTATAATTTCTTTATGACTCATGTTATATATTATCTAAAGGCCATTAAAAAAAAAACAAACCCAAGTGTTTTACAGCTTTGGGCAGATATTGTTGATTGGCTCAAAAGGACATCAAGTCTCCACGAAGTCAAGAGATTAGCCCCAGATGTAGCTATATGCTGATCAAGTCGGGCTCCATGCCCGCCCCTTTCCTCATGCCTGGCTCTGTCTGTCATATCATCCCAAATTTTCATAATAATGTTGATTTTGGCAACTGGTAAATCTGAGTATCAATAAACTCAGTAGGTGTGTTTCGGCCTTGAGCACAAAGCGTGGGGCCAAGGGCATTAATTTTATGAGGTGTGACTGAAGAAATGCCTTGTTTGGCACCCATGGGCTGGTGCTATGTATGGCCTGTAGTTTTCCTCCACTGAAGCTGTTCTGGCAGCTGCCTTGGAATTCAGTTCAGGGCCAGTTTATGAGCCACTCCAAACAGCC